TGCCCCTCCTGGTAGATGTGGATCCCGTCCTGCCCTGTCTTGGTGGGGAAATGGTGATGGGATGGGGTGTGCATTGGGGGTGTTGGATCCTCTGCCCATCCAGGTCTTGCCCTTGCCACCTTTGTCTTGATTGGCCTCCCTCCTGGGTGCCGACAGGCAGCTTCACTTTCAGAACTTGATGTCCCCATGGTACTTCCATGGGCCAAGGCAAAGGGACCCTTGCCTGGGCTGGTGTTAGCCCCTGGCTCTCACCTCCTCTCAGGAGAACCTGCAGCTCTGCTGAGGCTGCAGCACTGAGCAAGAGTAGCTCTTTACCAGGTGGTTTCTGATCAGCAGAGCCGCCAGGTTCTGGCAATTGAAATACGGGATGCCCATCAGATCTGGAGTTCAGGTAGATAACAACCACCCATGTGTTAGACAAATATTGCACTAAAACAGTTTGCTGTTTACTGCAAATTCAGGTTTAACTTGGCCTCCTGTGTTCATCTGGGCCCCTGGGCCTGAGCCCACAGCTGCAGTCTTCTCCAGGCAGGGATGTGAGGGGTGAGCAGGAGGCAGACACGGATTGACATAGCCCCGAAGAGGTGCACAGGGCCAGGAAGTCCTGTGAGTGACTGATGGGAGAGATGACCCATCCCATCGCCCAGTGTTACTTTGCCCTCATCTTGCTGGGCCATTGTACCTCTGCCTGGTTCTCATCTGCTGGTTAGCAAAGGTAACACCGTGGAAGTGGGCCTGGGATGTGACCTCCCACAGGAAGCAGCCATTGATCTGTGCTGGTGCTGGCCAGGGTCTGAGTTTGCTGTCCCCTGTTGTTCCCCACTGTCCCTCACTGTCCTGCTGTCCCCTACTCAGAGGCACAGAGCGCGTTGGGCTCTCCCTGAGGACAGAGCCTTCTGCCAGGCCAGGTGCCCACGGTGACTAAGTAAACAGCTGATGTGAACTCTGCTCTTGAAGAAGCCCCTTGGGGCAGGAGCTGAGGGATCCCGTGGCCTCCCCGATTCTGTGGCCGGCGTCTGTGTGTGCAGAAAACACAGCTGAGTCCCCTGTGGTGCCAGTGCTTCCTTGCTAACTGGGAGAGCTGCAGGGAGCCCCACACTCAGTGGTCCTAAGAGGGACCAATGGCATGTGGTGGCTTATGGCCTGAGACGGACACTGTGACCTCGGTACTTGTGGACCTGACCAGTGAAACAGCATTCACTGTGACTCAGCCCAGACAATGTCGGGTTGCAGACTGATGGGGCAGGGCTGGCTGCGCTTACAGTCAGCTTCCTGTCCCCACAGCACGTGCCAGACCCTGACCCTGTTTCTCTGTCCAGAGGCTGAGGTCTTCCTGCTGCCTTCTTCCCCAGTACCACACACATGCCTGGCTTCGTGAGGCCCGTGGTTCCCTGAGCTGTGTGCCTGTCATGGTTAGGGTTTGCTGGGAAGTGGCATCTTTGGCCTCTGTGTCTGCCCCTCCTGAGGTCTGGGCAGGGCCCTCCTGGGTGCAGGGCCTGGGACTTGTCCTGGAAGGCCCTCCCTGGGTGCCCATTTCCCCTGTCCCAGTTGCCACCTGCTCTTCCTCAGCAGGGGTAGATTTCTGCTGCTTCTCTCCTTGGGGCCCTGCCTCCCGCACGTGTTAACCTCTTCACTGCCGTCTAGGCTCAACCTGACGGGTTCATTGGGCACAGAGGTGAGCAGGGCAGGGCCTCCCTTTGAGGCCAGATCTGGTGGGGGCGGTGCAGATCCCCTGGGGTGTGTGAGGTGGACAGAGAGCAGGGCGGGGCTCTCCCCTCTCCTTTCTCCTCCATGGATCCCACTGCCCTGCTTCTAGCAGGGGGAGAGGGAGCCGGGGGTGTGACTGCTCTGGGACATTTGCGTGCTGGGGGTGGGATGCAGCGGGCAGCCCTGTGTGTCAGGTGAGGGCTGTGCTGCCTGCCCACCCATGCGGAGGAAGAAGGGGGAATTCCAGGTCTGGGAGAGCACAGACTTCAGGCCACCTGGGCCTGGGAGGCGCTGGGAGCAGGCAGAGGGGCCGGGGCCACACTGGGTGACGGGAGTGGCTGCCTCCTGGGTACCCTGCGGCCAGGGCCTCACTTTGCCTCTGCTCTCTTCCCTGGTGAGCTCTCCCGTCCCTGTGGTTTCTTCGTCCTGCTGTGTCTGCACCTGTGCACTTCTGTCCCAGCCACTCTGCCACCACCTGTCTCCTCCGCTGTTGGGTCTCCCTTGGTGCCTCGTGACTTTGTTTCTCTGTCTCTCCCTGCTCCGTATCCTGCAGCCCTCATGATAGGAGTGTCTTGTGGGTCTGGGCCTGGAGGCAGAGCCCTTGTTTCCAGTGGGGCTGACAGCCCTGTATCTGTGAGGAGCTGGAGGTGCCCGGCACAGGGCCCTGCTTTCCTGCAGTTCTCCAGGACACTGTCCCTTGTAGTAGAAGTGTACGGGATGGCCGGCACCATGGCTCAATAGGCTAATCCTCCACCTGTGGCGCCAGCACACCGGGTTCTAGTCCCGGTCAGGGTGCCGGACTCTGTCCCGGTTGCCCCTCTTCCAGGCCAGCCCTCTGCTATGGCCCGGGAGTGCAGTGGAGGATGGCCCAAGTCCTTGGGCCCTGCACCCACATGGGAAACCAGGAGAAGCACCTGGCTCCTGGCTTCAGATCAGCACGGTGTGCTGGCCACAGCGTGCCAGCCACGGCAGCCATTGGAGGGTGAACCAACGGTAAAAGGAAGACCTTTCTGTCTCTCTCTCTGTCTCACTGTCCACTCTGCCTGTCAAAAAAAAAAAAAATTAAAAAAAAAAAAAAGAAACACAACAACACATCAATTGGGGCCGGTGCTGTGGCTCTGCGGTTAATGCCCTGGCCTGAAGCGCCTGCATCCCATGTGGGCACTGGTTCCAATCCCGGATGCTCTGCTTCTGATCCAGCTCCCTGCTATGGCCTGGAAAGGCAGTGGAAGATGGCCCAAGTCCTTGGGCCCCTGCACCCCTGTGGGAGGCCCAGAGGAAGCTCCTGGCTTTGGTCTGGCCTCTCCTCTCTCTGTGTAACTCTGACTTTCAAATACATAAATCTTAAAAAAAAAAAAAAAAAAAAAAAAAGAAGTGTACGGGGCCAATGTCCAGCCCACACGGGTCTGCTGGGGGCTTCTGGGGCTTCTGCTAGGGTGCAGGGGAGAGAGCTTGGTGGAGAGGGCCCCCTGAGGTCTCCTGCAGGATCTGAGGCACGGCCCCACCCTCTCAGTCTCTGTGGCTCTTCCTCGTGGCACGTGGCAGCCTGGTTTGCGCCGGGCCTGGTGTTCTGCCCAGGGGTTGTTCCTCCCTTTGCACAAGCAGACTGAAAATGGCAGGTTGCTCACCGGTTTCCCAGGAGGGTCACACACAGCCACGTGTTGGCTGTGCTGGGCCATTCTAGGCATGAGTATGGTTTGGGGTGTCTGGGGGTCTGAGGTGAGGCGTTCTTTTCCCATCCCACCACGGGCTGGGGACTAGGGGTGGCCTGAGCTTGGCCTCTTTGCTTCACTTTCACTGTTTCTGCTGTGGTTTTCGGCTCTGTCCTCCACGCCCCTTGCTCTTCTAGTTTCTCCTTCCTCCCAGAAGCGATGCCACCCGCTCCCTAGTTTCTTCCTCAGCCTAGGTCGGAGGCTCTGCCCCTGAAGCCTGCTCCGTGGTGGGGCCTGCAGGACCAGGCAAGGCGTGAGAGGCCCTAGCCGAGCCGGGCTCCGCTCTCAGGAATCTGGTTGTCCAAGGGCCCTCTGCTGGAAGGCGCTCCTCGAGGAGGAGCAGCTTTGCCACCGCTCCCCCCACCCCACCCCCACCCGCCGCGGTGACCGTCCAGCGGCGCAGCACCTCTGCGGGCTGTTCCTTAGCACTTGCCTCTGGGTGACACCCTGGCCTGGGGAGTCCCCGCCTGCTCCCTGCCTGCGGCCCTCGCTCATGGCTGTGCCTGTGCCCAGAGCCGCAGACAGAACCCTGCATGTGGCTGTCTCTCGGTGCCACGCCCTGTCTGCTAAACACCACAAGTTTCCTCAGTGCTTCACTTGGGAGAGCCCCCCACCCCCCCAACAGAGACTCAGACCATCCTCGCCTCCCTCCGGCTATGGAAAGCCGGTCTTCGGGGTGACTCCCCGCATGGACACTGCGCTGCTGAGACTGGTCCCAGGAAACGAGGCTCTCGGAGAGGGGGCAAAAGTAGCGAATTTCAGGTTGATGTTGACAGCTGCGTGAGGGGCCGTGTCTGCCGTGGCCGTCACACGCAGTCTTGGCTGTGGTGCCCTGTTTTGTAGCCGAGGGAGGGGAGTGGCTTTGCTGTCCCCCAGGTCTCTGCCTGGGTCTAGGGTCTTTCACAGGCACACTTGCACACCTCGTGTCCAGGGACCCGAGAGCTGAAGTGCCCGCCAGGCAAGGTGCCTGGTGCGCGGACTGCAGTCGGGCTCTCGTGGGTTTTGGTTTTCCATGTGCATTTCTGTGTGGCCATGGCAGGAGGGCACCACTGCCTCCTGACGAGACGACCTGCGTGGTCTGCATGTGAAGGGTGTGCGAGGGAAGACAAGGAACCCAGTCCCAGTCAGCCACGGACGTGCGCGTCCTGGAGCTGCTCCCGAGCTGTGGGCTCAGTGGGTTGGTGGTTTGTGCAACGCTGACATGTCCAGGTGTGGGTGGGTGAGTTGCTGCTGGTCTATGTTGATTGAAGAAATCTCCTGAAGGAGAAAGGAAACAAGGCATCTAAGAACATTTTGAAACGAGAAATGGGAGGGTCCTGCCGGGTTGGGGGGAGGGTAGAGGGAACAGATGGGCAGAGGCTGGGGCCTGGTGTTAGGAGGGCAGCTTGCTGCTGGACGGAAGGTTGGTTTTCCCTGTGTGCAAAGTGAAGCCCAGATGGCCAAATGTAACCCCGCTTGGAACCACCGTCGGCTCACCTGGAGTCAGCCGCGTGTCCTGGTGGACCCGGCTGCAGCCTTGCTCCCCGGGATGGGAGAGTGCTGCAGACCTTGCTAACCATGCCCCTCTGTGTCCATCCACAGCATCCTGGCCACGGCGGGGACCCACTTCAACACGCACGTGGACCTGAGGACCCTGCGCGCCGTGCGTGTTCTGCGGCCCTTGAAGCTGGTGTCCGGCATCCCCAGTGAGCATGGGCCGAGGGCTTCCGGATGTGCCCGTGGTGGACTAGGGCTCCTGCAGGAGGCTGGGGTGGCAGTGGGCACGCAGCAGTCCAGCCCAGCACTGGACTCTCAAAGTCAGCCTTCCTGTCAGATCTAAGCGATAGTGGGAGATCCTCATGTGAAATGCATAAAGTAAGATGATAGAGAGTCACAGGCATGTTTTGTCCCCTCACTCAGAAAGAACCTACAGCATTTTAGCACATGTTTTATTCATTTTTCCCTGTGCCCGTCGACAGCGTTGAATCACTGTGTATATGCAGTTTTGTGTCCTGCAATAAGCACATTGTTTCTGACCTTGGAAATGCGGGTGTGTGTCATTGATTTAGACACTTTTGTGTTGCTGGGCAACATAAAACGTGGGTTATTGCCAGTGCTTTCCAGTGCTAGTGGACCTGCCGCAGAAGCCTCTCTGCACGTCCTCTCAGGCCAGGGTCCCAGAAGCACAGTGCTGGGGTCAAAGGCCATGTTTTCTGTCCCCAAAAGCCTGGATGGGGATTGGGTGGCGGCAGAATGCAGGGTCGGTGCTCTGCCTTTCCCCTAGGGTGTGAAGCAGGGCTCTAGTAGAGGCGTCCAGAGGCAGTACAGGCTGAGACCGGGGCTGGGGCATGTGGGGTGTGGGGGGGGCATGTGGGCATCTGTGGCTTGACTGGTGCTCCTGGTGGGCACTCTTTACTCCCAGTGCCTGTGCTTTGCCCTGAGCTGCCTCTTTGTGGGCACCAACAACCTCTGCCCCTCGCCCAGGCCTGCAGAGAGCACTCAGGTCCATCATGAAGGCCGTGGTGCCCCTGGTGGGCACTGATGCTCTGTCCCTCCCCTCCCCCAGGCCTGCAGAGAGCACTCAGGTCCATCATGAAGGCCGGGCTGCCCCTGGTGGGCACTGATGCTCTGTCCCTCCCCTCCCCCAGGCCTGCAGAGGGCGCTCAGGTCCATCATAAAGGCCAGGCTGCCCCTGGTGGGCACTGGTACTCTGTCCTTCCCCTCCCCCAGGCCTGCAGAGGGCGCTCAGGTCCATCATGAAGGCCGTGGTGCCCCTGGTGGGCACTGATGCTCTGTCCCTCCCCTCCCCCAGGCCTGCAGAGGGCGCTCAGGTCCATCATGAAGGCCGGGCTGCCCCTGGTGGTCACCGGTACTCTGTCCTTCCCCACCCTCAGGCCTGCAGATCATACTCAAGTCCATCATGAAGGCCGGGCTGCCCCTGGTGGGCACTGATGCTCTGTCTCTCCCTTCACAGGCCTGCAGATCGTGCTCAAGTCCATCATGAAGGCCATGGTGCCCCTGCTGCAGATCGGCCTCCTGCTCTTCTTTGCCATCCTCATGTTTGCCATCATCGGCCTCGAGTTCTACAGCGGGAAGCTGCACCGTGCCTGTTTTGTGAACAATTCAGGTCGGCCTCCTCTCCCTCCCCACACCCTTCCTCGGTCCTCTGGGTCACGTGGAGGTGTCCATTCCTGCCCTGGCATTAGGATCACACCCAGCCTGCGGTCAGCATCCACACTGGACAGATTTTTTCAAAGCAAGCAGCCCACTAGGTGTGCGGTTGGGTGATTTCCGGAGCAGGTTAGAGGGCCATCAGGATGTTGTGTCAGCACCCACAGGCCACTGAGACTGGGACCCCAGAAGCAGACACAGGGCCCCACAGATGGGAGACCTTGCTCTCCACACGACCCACGTGCTGGAATTGAGGGCACGCAGTGCTCACGTGGAAAGTGGCCTGGGGGCTGCCTGGTCACGGGGACCTTGTTTGTGGTCTCTAAGCTGAGCCGAGGGCCCAGGGAGGAGAAGCTGGGCAGGGGCTGTGAAGAAGGGGCTGTGCACTCCAGGCCGTTAGGAGAAGGGTCCCCACAGGATTCCTGCACCTCGGACTCATTTTTTGTTCAAGACCAGGAGTCTGTGATGAGAACAGGACTTAGAACTGCCAAAAACCTCCCCTCTACCCAGGGAGAGCCAGGGCTTATCCAGAGTCTAAATCAGAGTCAATGAGATTCTGGCTCCAGCTGAGGGTCTTCCTGTGGACTGTGGGAGGGTGGAGAAGGGGGTGCAGAAGGCAGGTGGCCACGCCAGGAGCTCTGTGTTTCAGAAGAGACTGGAGGCCGTGGGGGAACAGTTGGCCAAGGAGCGAGGGATCCGGAGAGGGAGGCTCAAGCCTGCTCCATGGGGCAGTTGTGGCTTCCTGGGGTCATTTCCAGCATGGGAGACTCCATGTGGTCAGTCCCACCCTCCACATGTGCCTGCAGGTGTTCTGGAAGGATTTGACCCCCCTCACCCGTGTGGCGTGCAGGGCTGTCCGGCCGGTTACGAGTGCAAGGACTGGATCGGCCCCAACGACGGGATCACGCAGTTCGACAACATCCTCTTCGCGGTGCTCACCGTCTTCCAGTGCATCACCATGGAGGGCTGGACAACCGTGCTGTACAATGTGAGGGGCTGACGGTGCTCTGGGTGGGGCGTGGGTGTGGGGGGGTCAGGGATGCAGCCTGTACTGCCCTCTGGCTGCATGGACAAGGGGAAGTGGCTGCCTGCACTGGTCAGATGAGCAGACCTGCCCAGTTTGATTGTCTAGGCTCAGAGCACTCTGCTGCTCCAAAACTGTGGGTTTCTTGGTTGCTGTCCTCAGCTGGAGAAGCTGCCACACAGTTCTCACCTGGCCACACGCTGGAGGCAGCCAGAGGAGCTGGGCTGCCCCCCTGACCAGTGAGGCAGGCACATCTGGGGTGAGGGCCAGTCACCGACAGTTGAGCCCCTCAGCTGGTCCTGTGACTGCTATGTCAGGTGTGGGAGGCTCGCTGGCAATGCCGGCTGAGCTTAGGGGGTCTGGGTGGCTGCTGAGCTGTGCATGCCCTGAGCCACACACCTGGCCCAGCAGACAGGCTCCAGCAGGTGCACAGACAAGGCTGTCCGAGCAGAACAGAAGCTGCACAGGTGGCTCTGAAGTCTCTTCCGTCTTACAGAGTCTGACTTCACAGGTTATCAAAGCAAGGCAGGAGAGGTGTGTCTGGGACGGCCACCCGTGCCAGGTAATGACTTCACAGGTTACCAAAGCAAGGCGGGAGAGGTGTGTCTGGGATGGCCACCCGTGCCAGGTAATGACTTCACAGGTTACCAAAGCAAGGCGGGAGAGGTGTGTCTGGGACGGCCACCCGTGCCGTGTAATGACTTCACAGGTTATCAGAGCAAGGCCGGAGAGGTGTGTCTGGGACGGCCACCGTGCCAGGTAATGGCTCAGCCTGGACATGTTCCTCTTTCCTTCACGTCTTACCTGCAACTCTATACAAGACTCACTGGCTGGGGCAGGGGTGCACATAAGGCACACTGTGAAACGAGGTCTGGATGTTGTCAGGAGAGGAAGTACCAGGGCTCAGGAGAGACGTGGGCAAATGGTCATGCTTGCGGAGTAAGGGCTGTGCAAGGCTTGTCCTGGGGACCTTCCCCACAGCAGGGCCAGCGCAGGGCTGAGATGCTTTGCAGGAAAGCCGTGGCTGCCCTGGGATGTGAAGGAGCCCGGGGCTCAGCATGGCCACGGCCCCAGTGGGGTCTGGGTCCGCTCCAGCTGGGCACTGTAGGAAGGAGGGAGGCAGGGGGCAAGCGTGCCTGAACCTCGCCAGGCCCTGTTGCTCAGATTGGCCAGGCGCTGGCATCTGGGACTCACCAAAGCGGTGCTGTAAGTGGGCTGAGAGCCTGGAAGGAGAAGTGTGGAGTGTGAAGGTGCAGCCATGACGTGGGGCCTCTTCAGCCAGGATCAGGGGAGCCCCTGGTCGTTCCCGTGGTCATCTGCTGGCTCATGCGTCCACTCATTCAACACGGGGAAGCTCCGTGCCACAGCCTGCAGATGGTGACCTCATTCCCCTCTAGTTTTGCTCACTCAGGGAGCTGGGGAGCGAAGAGGGCACATTGCCCATCCTCTGAAGCCTTTGCCCGGCTGGCCACCTCCAGCCCGGCAGTCACTGAGCTTTCGTGTGCGGGGCCTCCTGCCTCCCTGATGGCTGGGCCCAGGGCTAAGGGCACTAGTGGGGCTGTCAGATCAGTTCCCAAGAGGCAGGCATGGCGAGCCCCTGGGCACTTCCAGGAGTCACCGGCAGGTGTGCTCACAATAGTGGGATTCAGAAGTGGAGGAACAAAAATGACGTCAGATTCCCTAGGAAGAGGGCAAAGCAGCAGAAGCCGGGCGTCGGTGGTGTAGGGTGTCCCGGGCAGGACTCGGGTGCAGGAGCTGGGCATCCCTGTGGGCGTAGGGGCTGTGGTGCTGGAGGGCAGGTTCAGGACTCTTCACACTGGTACTCATGGGCCCTGTTCACTCACGACCAACCATGCAACTTGGGAAGAAAAGGGGGTGGGGAGAAGTCAGAAAGCAGCCGTGAGGGAGTGAGCAGGTGCACCTGCCATCCTCAGTGTACCTGTGCCCAGAGGGTGTGAGCTTCGAATGGATCTGGGCTAAAAATTAGCATGTTCTTGTAGCCCCCGTTAACCATACCCCACCAGGTTTTTTTTCTTTCTTTCTATTCTAGCTTAGACTTTGTAATGGCAAAATTATACACATCTATACATGTGCACACTGGTTGCACACCACGGAATTAACCATGAATGAGTAGCTAACCTAGTGTTATAAATACAGGTGTTACAGACTGTCTATTTCTGCACGCAGAGAAACCACTCAGAGTGGTGCCTCTGCCACCATGATGCACTGGCAGCCACCAGCTCCCTCTCTTCTCCCACCCCTTGTTCTGGGAAGGCCCCATGCCCCCGCGGCTGCCCTTCCTCACATGCAGCACTGGGGCCCAGGGAGCCTGCCCCTGCAGCAGTGGTGTGGGCGTGTGGGGCAGTGGGGCTGCCTGACCCAAGCCAAGACCCACCAGGCTTGCTCGATGGGCACGCAGGCTCCGTCTGAGCTTTCCTTAGCCCCAGTGAACGCCTGTGTCCCTTGTCTGCTGGGCTCTTCCTGAATGCACTCGGTGCAGTGACTTCCTGTTGTCCTCAACTATAGGAGCCTTATCTGCATGTGGCTTTTGTCTGTATGCTTTTTTGTAAGAGGGTGTGTTGGGGGGGATGTCCCATTGTCAAGGCAGCCTGGAGCGGCCCAGCCTCGGATCGGATCGGGATCCACTGGGAGGGATTCTTGGCTCCCTCCCTGGCGGGAGGCACCCAGTCCCTGCTGAGCTCCCCGGGTCCTGTCTGCAGGTGCTCAGGTTTCTGCGGAGGCCCCCGGGTCCTGTCCAGGCATGCAGGCAGGAAGAATGGGAAGCAGTCGCATCTGCCGGTGCTGACTCTGTCCCAGAGGCCCTCACCTGCAGGCTCTCACCTCTGCTGAGAACCTAACTCATTTATTTCTCCTGTACCTGATCAGTGCTGCTTCCCAGGACTGCAGCGCGTTCTTGCTGTGTCAGCCGCGCTCACTCAGCCAAGGCGCCTGAGGTTCCCGTGTTCGTTCCTAGTGCTGTTCATCTGGCTGCAGGCGACTGCACAAGGGGCTCTCTCCCGACCCTGACATACTAACGGCTGCATTGAGTCTAACCTATAGATTACTGGGCCTCTTGTCCTGCTGTGGGTGCTCAAGTCCCTGTTGGGGTTCCTGGGTCTGCTGTTGGCACGCAGGTCCCTGGTGAGGTTCCCAACCCTGCTGTGGGCATCCAGGTCCATGCTGAGATTCCAGGCCCTGTCTGTGGGCGCCCAGGTCCTTGGTGAGGTTCCAGGCCCTGTCTGTGAGCACCTGGGTCCCTACTAGGGTTCCAGGCCCTGTCTTGGGCACCCAGGTCCCTACTGGGGTTGCCAGGCCCTGTCTGTGGGCACCCAGTTCACTGGTGAGGTTCCCAGGCCCTGTCTTGGGCAGCCAGGTGCCTGCTGGGGTCCCAGGCCCTGTCTTGGGCACCCAGGTCCCTGCTGGGGTCCCAGGGCCTGTCTGCAGGTATCAAGTCTCTGCTCTCAGAGTCCATGTTTCCTATTTGTTTTTAGATCCTGGAGCTGTTTATCATCTCCTGGGCTGTGATAACCTCTGTGAGGGAAGTGCACGCAGGATAAATCATGAAAACAGGGCATTCCAGAGTGGTGGAGCTATGGAGAGAGGGTAGTGAAGGGGGATTTGGCTACAGTTTCACAGTGGGCCGTATGGTTACCTGCGGGGAGAGGATCCCTGGTGGCCAGTCAGGCAGAGGTCCTGAGATTGACACGTGCTGGGTCTGTCTGAGGACAGAGGAGGGGCCGCTTGGTTGGAGTGGGTCGGGTGCAGGATGAGCAGGCGGACGCTGGCCAGGAGAGGGGGCTGAGCCTGCGGATCTGTGGGCGGCGGTGGCGACTGAGATGGGGAGCACTGGGCAGGTTCCTCGGATGGGAGTTGACTCCAGCTGCTTTCTGAGAATGTGCTTCACAGGGCAGGCCCACAGCTGGGGATGGTGAAGAGGACAGTGCAGTGGTGTGAGTCAGAGCGCTGGCCACTGCAGGGGGAGGTGAGGGCTGACTTGTGGGGTGTGAGAGAGGACAGCCGGAGAGCAGCACCCGTTTAGCAAGTCAGGAGGCTGCAGACCAGGCAGGGCTGCGGGAGCCCCAGGGCAGTTTGGACTCCACACTCCAGGGAGCTGACTGCCATGTGCATGTGGCAGGAGCATCAGGGGGGCTCGAGTGAGGGAGTGGGGTAGACGCCTGGCCGTGAAGCCGGGCGGGGAGCTCCTGGCCTGCAGATGCTGGTTAGGGTCCTGAGGTGCCCTTTCCAGGGGAGAGAGGGTTTCAGGGCTGAGTTCCGAGTTCCAGACTTGGGGGAGACCACATTGTCAGCAGAGAAGGCTGAGAAACTACAGGAGGAGGAGGAAACCCAGGAAGGGTGGGGTCCCAGGTCCAGGTGAAGGGGTTGCTGTCGGGGGTGGAGTGGGGACGGGCACTGTGTGCTGTCGTGGCCTCCGCACTTAAAAACAAGGTTCGCTATAGGACTTTGTGGATGATTTATTGAAATTAATACAAATTATACCTGTAATGGCCGGGGCCAGGCCAGAAGGAATCTGGGAGCTTGGAACTCAGCCCAGAGCTTCCAAGTAGTGGCAGGGGGCTGGGACTCAGACCCAGGCAGTGGGACAGGGGAGCAAGCATCTGCTCCCACGGGCTCTGGCTCACCTGTTCAGTGGTAGAAAGCCTCTTGTAAGCATGGTTTGTGCTTTTGGTCCAGCGCTGCCAAGGGGCCAAGTAAGACGTGCCGAGAACGGACACGATGCTGGGAGTGCCTTCCGTGCAGTGGGAAGTTGGAACCAGTGAGGACAGACTCACAGTGGAGCTCTGTTGGAAAGGGGAGCAGAGACAATGAGGCAGGTGGAAGAAATGCCATTCCCATGCTGCTCAGTGAGCCACAGAGGCAGAAGTCCCCGGGGATGAAGGGCACAGGGCACAGTCAGGACATGGCCGAGGTGCCACAGCCTCCCGGGCCCTCGACTGCTCCCAGCT